GCTTCTTCCTTGGCTGAATAGGAGACATTGCAACCGCAGACCGGAACTCCCGGTCGTCAGCGGACAGGATATTAATGTCAAGGTTGAAAGAGCCTGCCCCAATCTGTGGTGAAGCATCGGCTGCGATTTCCGTCAGTGCCCTGCGCTGTCTGCCACTTGGGCTGGACAGAATTTTTGAGTTATGGAACGAGGAAGGTTTCAGAGGCGACGAGCTATCAGCAACCATCGGTTGAGAACGAGACCCTCGTTCGTGCGCACCCATGTACACCGGCGGCAAGTCGTCATCTTCTTGATCGGCTACATCGGTTGTGTTATGATCATTCGGCCACCTTTGATGACCAAGGCGGCTGGGACTCGTTTCGGGAATGCTTGTCATTGGTATGATTTCTGCAAAAGCCCTAGGAGCAACAGGAGTCTCGGCGACGCGCGAGAGCATAGATGAGGACTTCTCGGGTCGATCCAACGTAGATGGTTCATTGCCTGTATCCGCGGCCCCCTGCACAGCTGGATTGCTTGACTCCACCATGTTATGCTCTTGAGCCAACGAGGGCCGTGGAGTCTGGGAGCGAGATGGACTGCCTAGCTCTGATCCAGGCCTGCTCACCGATTGAGCGCAGCCTAATTCGAGCGATCGTCGGCTGGTCTGGGACGCTGAAGGGGGAGAGGAACGTATACGAACTTGCTTTGTGGGCGATGGAGTTGTTCTGTCTACATCAGACAAAGGCCCCGAATGAGCCTGAGAGCCTGACTGAGGTATGCGCTGCGCGGTCCATTGCTCCTCTGTGTCATCATTACCAGGATCCCTCCGACCAGCGGAGCGCTGAGAGTCCTTAATGACCGAGACCTGTGAGGAGTAGCCTTCATGCAACTGCTCATCCTGTACAAAGCTGCCAGAAAGCGAAAGCGACCTTTCTTGCGCGTTTACCGGTTCCCCATTGGTTGGACACGGACTTTCATGCAAGGCAAGAGCTTGCGATAGGCGGTCATGCGCGCTCGCAGCAGCAGTACTGGTTGTGGAAAGGTCGTGGCAATTCTCTTTATCCTCCTCGGCTGAACCATCGAGATCGTAAGGCCGTGGCGTGGGCTGTTCCAAGTCATCCTCTTGCTCTTGTTCCGTTTCTTCTTCGCTGAGCGCCCCATGCTGCAGCCCGGTAGACCCCTGCTCTCTCACCTCCTCGACTTCTCCAGAAGACTCTTCAGTCAGATCTGGGCCTTCAGGTACTTCAGATACGGGATTTAAGATCATGTCCGCTTGATTACCACGCCGACTGGATGGCCTCGCAGGGGCTGTGAGCTCCACAAGCTGAGCATCAGCCTCGTGGTCAAACATCTTCCGGCGCCTCATTCGCTCAACAAAACTAGGCTCCTTATCAAATTCCCCGTCGCTTTGGTCCGAGTACACATGGTTCGCAGAACGTGTCATTCTTTCATGCAATGCCTTATCCCGGTTGGCTTGAGATTCCTGCATGCTGATGTAGTTCCATCTGTGGGCGGACGTGTCCCGTGGAAAAGTTGCGGCGAGGTTATTGTAAGGTGAGGAGAGCGTTGTAATAACCGGGTGGCTCTGAATGGGAATATTCGGAGAAGGTCGATCTGACACAGGGTCGGATTGTTGGCCGTTCACTAGAGGTGATGATGGAGCCTGAGTTGCCCTAAATACCTGACTTAGTGCCAATATCCCACCACTTGACCCGATATCTGCTGCAAGGGGATTCCGCGAAGCAGTGGGAGACACAGTGGCAAGGCCCTCAGAGTGGGCACGCTTCACTGCTGTCATGGGTGTCTTTGTCAGAAACCGCTGCGACTCAGGAAAGAGATTTGGCTGATGCAGCATGGGCGAAGATTCTCCCAGCTTCGAGCTACTCTGATCCTCAAGGTCCTCGTTGACAGCATCAGTATGAAGAGGGTCGTAGCCAGATAGCAAATCAAGATGTCCGCTATCGCCTTCATGAAGGGCCATAAGCGTTGCCTGATCACCCAAATTGCTCTCCTGAGCGTTGTCCGCAGCCTCCTGGTTCTTCCTGATGATTTCATCGTAAACTGACTGAGAGACGACCTGCGTGTCCGAAGGGACGGCATCGACCGAAGGCATTTTCGTAGACGGAGGCACTGGGCCCGTAGAAGGGTTTGTAGAGTTGGTTTTGGATGCTGGATTCGTATTCATCGAAGTTGTGGCATTATGTGATCGCGAGGATGACCGTGAAGGCGACGACGGCGTTGGGGATTTTCGAGCCTTCTCGTGGGCGGTTGAGGAAAATGACGACTTTTGATGGGCTTCCGGGCGACAGTCGTGGTTTGCAACTGTCCCCAGGCCATTAAATTGGAGCTGCGAAGGTGCAGATTCCTGATGGATAGCAGACAAATGATGTTAGCGAATGGAGATCAGAGACTCCGCCACCGGGAGAGGCCGTCACTCACAAGCCCCAACGCGACGCGTTGCAGCTTCGCGATGTCAAGGCTATCCTCCTGCGTCTCCATAATCCCTCTTACACTGCGATGCCTGCTACACAGCACAAATGATGGCTCATTGCCGAGGTGTCTGGCGCCCCAAAGCCACGAACACTTTCACTACTCGGCTTCCTCGACTGTTCTCGTGCCTTTTCCAATTGGACGGAATACCGTAAAATGCAAAACGCGGAACGCGTCACTCACGTGATATATTAATATTACCGCTCTAGGTTTAGCCTGTCCGAATCGACAAGCCAAAGACGATCTACAATCCATCTATAGAACGAGAGGATGAGCAGTACTATATAAGGAGCGCAGGAGGTGGTCAATGTTGCATTCTTCACACCAGTAAACCGTGATCAACAACGCCAACCATAATGGCTTGTGAGAGGAGCAGGGTTACATATGGTTACAATGAGTAAAGTGCTTTACGTCTTGCCAAAAGAAAACCCAAACGCTCGAACAGCACGATGCATATAGTACAGAGAAACCAGATGATGCACTCATTTCAGTCCCGAGTCCGATTGGGGACCCATCTTCGAATAACCATTTCCCGGACTTGATAACGAGACAACATCGAACCAATATCCTCTTCCGAGGGTGTATCAAGCTCGTAAGACGTTGGTGGAGGCACTTCCACATAGCATACCACCAAGCTCTTCTTCACCTGGGCTTGGACTCGATTGACACAATGCAGCCACCACCAACTGCGCGCTGTCTTCTCCTCACACTGGGCCTTGCGCTCGGCCGTTTCAGACCAGTAGCCATGGCCATAGGATGGGACGACCACGACAGCAAACTCAGCATGTGAGAAGACCGGACCACGGTTGTAGAGAATGTAGTCCACACCGAACTTCACTCCGGAGCGCACAACCCAACCCAAAGAACGGAAATGGTGGTACACAACATATGATATCATGAATGGGTCGTCCGGCGTGAGATCCGCTGACGGGGCTCTAGGAGGGAAGTAGGAGTGTCGACATAATAATGGCAGCAGAGAAGATGTAGGAATCTCGGTTTTGCGAGTATCATCGCGAACACGCAAGACACCCAGCCCATATGCAAGAAAGAAGGCCTCTTCGTTGGATAATTGAAGATGCTCTTCATTATTTAATTCCGGCTCCTCATCCGCCTTACCTCCGTGCACATTTCCATCCGCAGATGTTTCTGGCAAGCTCAAGATAGCCGAATCAGAAGCGAACTCCTTGGCTTGAACAACCGGAGAAAACCGCACAGTTTTGCTGCCACTAGGTGACCGCTTTCCGGCGGAGTTAGGGGTGCGTGCAATGCCGTCTTGTGATACTGAACGTTGTGACTCAAGGAGCTTGGCTTCCCTGGCTTCCCGTGCTTTTCTTAGGGAGAACTTCTCCGTAGTTGATACTGCGCCGTCAGAGCCACTGTTCGGAGTGGGTGAGAGGGATGACTGCTCGTTTGACGTCGCGGTGCCGTCCCTGGCAGCCGCTTCGGCCTTGAGTCTCTCCTCAATGGCAAGCTTTTCCATCCTCGCGCGCTCCAGTTTCAACTCGCGGCGTTCCGTCCGCCGCTGTCGTGTAACCTCTTCGCTAGTCATTCCTCCAAGTAATCCTCGTCTCTTCTTCTCACGCTCAAGCCAGCTCGGCTCACTTCGACTCAAGGTTCCCTTACCAAAGAAACCCATCTCCCATAGCGCCTTTATAGCCTTAGGGTCTGTGACATGGACCGAGGATGTGGCAGAGTCAAAGTAGGCAGAGTAGACTTCCTGGTGAGGGGGAGAAATAAAGTACGTCAGGTAGGAAAGCAGTACACTGACGAGCGAGAGAGGGTTATGGGGGATGAGAGGAGGGAGAGGATGCACCTCAACCGGGAAGGGGAAGCGATGGATGTGTCGGTAGTTGGGCCTTGGAGGCCGCGAACGACGAGCTGGGGAGGCAGCATTGGGTTTTTGAGAAGAGTCGGACTTGCCAGGAGCAGCAGTCTCCGAAGCAGGACTAGGAATTGTATTGGAAGCCATATTTAACAGTAATTCTTAAAAGCTCAATTGGATAGATATTCGATTCTAACTACAGGGAAGAGTCAGCAAGAAACTCTTCAGTTACAAGCTGGAATGTAGCCGCCATCGCCAACCCCGACAGAAGTAATCAGAATCATTGTGTTTCTCCTCAGATACCGTTGTAGTCAATACAAAGCCTTCACTGACAACAGCGAGAAATCAAGGTTGCCATTGCCTAAGCTTAGGTATGTCATCATCACCGGAGAAAACAATGAAAGCAAAAATCCTTCCAGCAAGACCGACAAGGCTGCTGGCTGAAGCTTACCCGAAATCCTGTGCAAGATCTGGGGTTGGTCAAGCCATTACACGAGAGGCAGCTTGTCCCTCGTGATGCGATGTAGTGTATCTTTAAGAATACAGAATATCAATTAGCGAAAAGATCCCAGAGTCATTATGCAAGACGGGAATGGATGCGCATCAACATCATCAACATCCTCAATATTCCCTCATCCTGCCTGAAGTGCGATGGGATGGTTTGCGGAAGGAAGAAAAAAGTGTTTGGAGCTCGCTTGGGCAGCCTTAAATGGGACCGCGCGTGACTAAGCTGGCCCTTGGCCCGTGCCCCGTTCGCTCCGCCAAAAATTTCCTGCGTATCGCCGAAGTTCAAGTCCAGCGGTTTGGCATCGATAAACGCACTCGTTCACCACCCAGCACCTCTCTTTCGTGTTTCAGTCGACTAACAGATCTAATTTTTCAAGTAAGTCTGTCTGCAGTCTACTTCAATGCTGCTCGCTCGTACTGACTAACGTTCTCTAGGATGCATCTTATGTGTATGTTTCTCCGCAGTCGGACTCCCCTCGATCGGTCATAACTAACGAATGCACAAAGACTCTCTGGGCCCTGATGGCAAGCGGGTTTACACCCTGAAGAAGGTCACCGAGGATGGTCGCGTTACCAAGAGTGCTCACCCCGCCCGTTTCTCTCCCGATGACAAGTACTCCCGGTAGGTTCCTCTTCGCCAACGGTATTCAGACACATCGGAGAGAGACTCAGGACTAATGATATCGGCTATCTAGTCACCGTGTGACCCTCAAGAAGAGATACGGTCTCCTTCTGACCCAGCAAGTCGGTATGAAACTCCGAGTACGATTCCCAACATGGTGGACATGGCTGACGACAGACTACAGACAAGGAGGCTGCTAAGCTGTAAACGGGTTGACGGAAAAACATGATTGAGATACAAAAGGTGCTTTGAATCATTTATGGCGAATGGTGTTATCTATGGTCTTTGGACGATGAGAAACTTTTGTTCGGTTTCTGTGCGGTGCCCATGGCCGGTATCTTAGTGTGCAAAATATACCATCCAAGAATTTGCTCTATATTCGTTACCCTAGCATATGCTATGTGTATGCTCTATAAATCGTTGATCACGAGCCGTTCATCATAATCCATCACAGAAATAGACCAAAGGTGCAGCCATAAACTTTTAAGCCAGACGCCAACCCAGACTGATGCAAAGAGACGAGAAGCCATGCCATTACCGCTTCCTCGAGTTGACATTCCTGCCAGCTCCCACACGGACCCGACCGTTCTTGTTCCGCTCTCCCGTCAGGATGCTTGGGAGGTAGTCCTCGTCCATGAGGTCGTGCTCCTTGCGCATTCTGCGGTTCTGTTCTGCGGTGGCTCGAACATACTCCTTCTGGTCTTCCGCCAGAATCAATTCCGTTCCCCAGCCACCCTTGCCACCACCTCCCTTCCACTTTCCGTTAGAAGTGCCGTGGACGGGCTTAGGGACACTGAAACGGTTGCCGCGGTTGTTCCACTGCATGTTCTTTTTCAGGTGCATCTTGAACTGTCCATTCGCGTCAGTCGTGCAGGAGACGCGGGTGAGCGTGTCTTTGCCGCAGCGGGGACAAAACTGCTTGTTCATGTCTTTGGTGGTGAAGAAACAGGCATGGCACCGCTTGATGAAAGACTTCAGATGGCGAATTCGCTGCAGGGTGGAAGTGGAGAGCAAGTTCAAGTTCATCTGTAGCAGCACGTTTTGACACTGTGTCCTAGTTAGTATGGGACATGGTCATCGGAGTGAGAGTTAAAAGCTTACCGCAAAATCAGTAGTCATGGTGGCAACCTGCATCACCTTGGGCTCCGGCGCCGCAGCCGCAGAGCTAGCCTCATCGCGGGCCTGCCGCTTCTTCAAGTTGGAGGGCGTGATCCAGCCACCATCCGAATCATCACCATCATCTTCCTCCTCTTGGATGTCGTCGGCATCCTGAGGAGTCGGTTCCTCCGCCTGGGCCTCTCCAGGGGCAATTTGCACCGCGGTCTCCGGTGTGCTGGTCTCCTCTCCCAAACTTGCGTTCTTCAGATCTTCTGCAACGGCATCCACCTCAGCACCCTCGTCTTTGTTCTCTTCCTTTTGGGTGGACTCGCCCTCAGTCTCACCCTTAGCCTCCTCTCCCTTCTCTTCGGCCTTTTCCTCCTTCACGGGTGGCTTTCCGTTCACCTGTTTCTGCCCCGGAACACTTCTCAGTCTCCAATCACCACCATTGCGCTCGCATTCAATCTCGTATGCAAGCGCCAGAACCTCAATATCCGTTTTACTCAGGACAGCCCGATCACCAGTCTTGCGTGCAAATTCGCTCAGGACACTGACGCTCTTCGGGGATGGTGTGCGCTGCTTCAAGAAGGGGAGGTAGAGTGTCTCCACACGCTGGCGGGCGTCAGGGTCACGGATTTCGCTGACGACGGAGGGGGTGATGAGGAGTTCTTCGCATTGTGCGAGCAGCGTGGATAGCGGCGGGGTATTCTTCAAGATGGGACCGGCGTCAAGGACGATGGTGTGGACGGGCTTCGCAGGCGATGCAGAGTCCGTCATTTTGGCGGTAGATGATGTTAGTATCTCTGCGACCGTCTATCAAACTTTGTGAATGGAAAACCAATGTAGGAGTGAGTGTATTGATTGACTCTTGGGCCGCAATGGTTGGATGGAAATTCCTCGGATGGGATTTTCAACTGGTCTGTGCATCGGTCCTTATCTTAGCGCCCGCTTATCGAGACTCTTCCGACTTTCTCACCATCACTCGCGCGACAACTGGTCAATGCCATAGTAAACAAGCCGGAATTCCTCTGTCTGATCCATCGTCCCGGAAGATTCAGAATATTCTGACAGATTCCCTCGAAAAGCCACTATCGTGGTCTGTCTGTCATCTCGACATCCACATACAAAGTCTATGTATTTCAAATCACATGGCAATGACAGGTCATTCTAATGCAAAAGGCCCCGTCCATGATCCATCAGAGCCATCCAAGTACGAGTACTCAAGGTGGTCGGCACACCAGTAGCCTTCCCAAACCACGCATTCCTCGGGAATCGAAAAAAAAGAACAATCGAGGAGATTAGGAGCACCGCGAGAATCTCATTAATTTCGCTTCTCGCATGGCACCATCAGGATGCCGAGCTCTCCGCGCGAAAAATGAAAGGAGTGCGTGTTCTGTCCCCTAGCAAAATGAATGATGGCGACTAGCATCAACCGAGCAGGGCCACGGTGAGTCCACTTGCCAAAAGTACTTGCATACAGTTGACTCATTCTTCGTCTTGACCTGCACACAGTCAGTTTGCGGATTCTGAATGGAGGTGCCTGGACGGAGTACTCCGTCTGACTGCAGAAGTGCGAACAGTACCCTGGACATGCGTCTAGCTATCTTCACACTAATGCAGGTATCCATGGAATCAAAAGACTGATAGGCCGTTCGTCCGGTGGATTTTTGCTGACAGGTATTCCGTACCGCGGATGATTTCAATCCGACTCAGAAGCTACTGTATGTGACGGGGATCTATGGCTATCGTGCATGGCTCACAGATACAAAAGCAACTGGCACTTCAAAATTTTGGGTTATTTTGTCGTGTTTGATTGGCTTCGCCATAACGGTGGCGCGCAAATGCCAGCTGACACTTCAACTGGAAGAACTTTTCAGTCACCATCGCCGAGCAACACGAATTCTGAGTAGACACGCAAGCAAGAATGACAAGAAATAGAGAGTATGTGTGTGTGTGTGTCCACGTGTGGACTTTATCATCTTATGGTCCATACTATACGCTCTATTCGATGCATGGCAGAATTCCTAATAATGGTTATATATAGAAAAATCGCTGCGCTCGACCTGTCCAGACGCTGGCTCTCTGGGTAGAAGGCAACCGGCTGCCTCGTCTCCATACAGTCAAACTTAGGCGACGAATACTCCATATCCACGACCAGTTCATGAACACTGTTGACTCACTCGAATGGATCAAGTAAAGGTCTTCAGTAGTAATCTTGGTGATTCTTTGACCAGGTCGCTACGGGTATGATTCCCGAGATATATAATTGGGAGTGGATGAGTCCCACGATTGTGTCACCCAACTCCTGATGGCTGGTAGGAGATCTTGATGCACAGTCCACTTCGGCCAATCCAGAATGCAGGCGTACTGATCGACCAATGGATATGGCTCTGCGTGGAACTATCAGTGCGGTGGCGACGAGTGAGGGTTACCGGAGTCGAACGCGCAGCACCAAATACTGCTTCCCTCCTTTAGAAAAAAAAGATGCACGCTATGGCCAAGCGACAATGGACCGACAATCATCCAATTCTAAAGATCAATAGACAATAATTAAATGAGCGGACTCGAGTTTCGTCTGCGGTTGGCTGTTTTTGGCCAACCCGGAGGAAGGTCCTGGCGCGCCTAGTCGGATGTGATACATCGCCTTTCTTTTACACGCCGGGCGTTTCAGTCAAATAACCGCACCAACACCAGCACCCTACTGATCAATCAGCATTGTTTGACAGAATTGATGGCCTATCCGTCGAGTCTCCTCACGGGCTGTAGATAGAGACGCGAATTTCCGCCTGTACGGTACTTTGCCCCCCTGCATGTCCGTTATTTAATGTGGCTCTGTTTAAGGCCCCGGAAATCATGCCATGAAATTCCCAAAGAAGGAAATGACAGGTCGCATCGGCCAGCTGGTGCACCCAAAAGTACTTTTGATAACGGATAATGCCTCCCCCCTCACAAGGTCAAGTGCTTATCCAGAATTGAATCAATCATTTTGAGATTTATGGAAGTATCTATAGGGGAGAAAGTATGACAGTCCTCTGCATCCCTTACTCTGCTCATCCCTGCCCCTGTGTAGGATCCGTGGCAGGACTGATCTTGATTGATCCCCTCTCTGTACAACATCGCCCAGCAAAGCCCTCTTAGGGGGAAAGCAGAGAGTCACCCGATGTCATTTAGGGGCACAGGCCATTTGCAGGCACTGTGGAAAGGACAGACTCGGAGATAATCTATTCTTGCAGCTTACCTGGCCTCTGCGCTGTGGCATGGCTCAATGACAGCTCCGGCCCCAGTCCCAGGGCAAGGAGTCGTGGGCTCCACGATCTGCTGGCTGGGCAGACTGTCATCCAGCCCGTCAAGATTCGTCAGGTTCGAGACAGACAGCTCTACGCACAATGTACTTCGTACGCACGCCGGTCGTATGCAAGTGCCTCCGCAGACGCATAGAACAATCCATGTATGCATCCAACCAGAGGAGAGTTTTGGATACACCGTCGATCCACCGTCTCTCCACTTTTGTCTTTGACAGACCAGACTGGGCGGTAATTTTTTCAGTGACCGCGGATGCAGTCAATGGCCGATCATCATGGACAGTATCCATAACCCTAGCGACACCACAGGGCTGGAACATGTCGCTTAGGCCTCTGCTATGCATGGAGACCTCTCCAGTCACTCTCCGCAAAACCTACGCACAATGGCTGCAAGCAAAACCAGAAAAAGAAATCGCGCGAGGCACCAAATGTACCTTTTATTTGCCTTTACCCATCTATCAACCTGAGTTTGTGCCAGGACCACATTGTGGCTGCTCTCTATCATTTGCTTATTTGTCTCCTCCCTTGCTTGCTTTTCCTGCCCTCCCTTTCTGCACCACACACCCATTGGACCCAGCTCCTGTCCTAGGGTCGGTCCGTGAATCCGGAGCAGCAATTAGACATGACTGAGGATCTTCACGGGCTCGGTACCATTGGTCTATTCGCATCCTTGTAGTCAGACAGAGCCGTTACTGGGTCTCACCAAGCGCAAAACGTTTATATCCCCATCTTTTCCCCCTTCCCCTGCGAGTGTCCCCCTCACAGTGACACGCGGAACAGTGCTCCTTTCGCTCATTGGGGGGTCAGTCGGACCCCAGGTTTTATATGAGTAACGTTGCTGGTCTCTGTACACAGAGGCCCGTGTACTCGTGAACACTCGGCCACAGTATACCCTTGTTCAGCCCGACTTGTCTCTGGAACACCGACAGACCAAGCCTCGTCTAAGTGCTCCCACGGAACGATCATTTTGAATGCGACCATGATGGACTCTCACACTCATTTCGCCCGAACGGATGATGGAGCGCACGGGTCATACATGTCACCCAGAGGGGGTCGAGCGTTAGCCGTCAGTGTTGTGTTTACCAGTTTAGCAACATGTTGTGTTGCTGCTCGTATTTACACGCGCACCAAGTTGATGCACCGCATGGAGCCAAACGACTGGATGATATTGCTGTCCTTGGTAGGTGCATGAAACCCCGACAGAGAGACAGCAAGTTGCTGACTATCGGGATTGGTAAGACGTTGTCCTATGTCTTTATGGGTCTATTCGTCGTGGAGGCCCTGAATGGAATGGGCATGCATGAGGCACACATCCCACCATCAGTCCTGTTAAAGCAGATGAAGGTAAGTTAATATCTTACACAGCATGCGCGGCTTGGCATTAACATAAGCTGGTCGATCAGGCATTCTGGCTTACCATTCCATTCTACAATGCTGCATTGCTGCTTGCCAAAGCGTCAATTTTAATGCAGTATTTTCGCGTGTTCCCAACCCGGCGCATGCGGCGCATTTCCTGGATCATGATCGGCGTGCTTGCTACCTACGGATCATGGGCGGTTCTCAGTGCTTTCCTCAATTGCATCCCCGTCGCCAAATTTTGGAACCCGACTATTCCGGGATACTGTCTGAGCATGGAGGGACTGTGGTTCTCGAATGCGTCCATGCACATAGCTACCGATATCGTGATATTGTTGATACCAATCCCGGCCTTGTCAGGGCTTGAATTGCCGCAGAGGCAGAAAATGGCCTTGATTTCAATTTTCGCTCTGGGTGGATTGTGAGTGTCCCGGTACCCACACACTGTTGGCAATGAAATCTTACTAACGCTCTATCTAGTGTCTGTGTAACTAGTGTTTGCCGGTTGGTTTCCCTGAAGAAGATTTCCGACTCTACCGACCCGACTTGTAAGTCGTCCCTCTAGTGCACCACGCGGCTTGTGACTAACAGAGTACTTAGACGACAATGTCGGTGCTGCATCCTGGTCTGCAATTGAATGCAACACGGGGATAATCTGTGCCTGCCTGCCTACCCTCCGGCCTCTCATTTCGCGACTCCTTCCACACTTCCTCTCAACTCTAAGCGGTGGAGGCCATGCGTACGGCTACGCACATGCGCCCTCGTCGCAAAGCCAACCGCCAACGTTCTGGAATGGCACTGGCACGGTGACAACTACGATTACCACACACATGGACGATCTGGAGTACGCTCATTGCACGGGAGGCTCGGATAGATATCTTACACTTGTTCCGGGACACGAACTTGGTGGGAAAGGAAAGCTTATGGTGCGAGAGACCAATAATTCGGCCGGTTTCCGCGATTCAGTGACGGGGAAGGATGTGCGATCAGACATCGCATCGCCGTCATCATCGTGAACAGCGTACTATGGACAGTCGACCAGGCCAATAGGAGTCGCAGTATATTGATGTCATTCTTACTGATACTATATTATAGGATCTATTGTTACCATTTCGTTCTTTAAGCGTGTGTTTCCTTTCTGTCTATACCTCTGCCGATGTATCTACTGGCTGTTGCCTTGTTCGACCAAGTTATATATATACTATACTACTATTCTTTGTTTCAGCCCCCGTGCATTCCTTTATGATAAGGCCAAGTGGGATATGGCAGCTAGCCCTAATCGGCAAGCAATCCCCAGTCGGCCCTCCACTAACTGTGAAGCGCCGCAGCGGCCTAAGAATCATGACCCACTGAACTGATGAGCGATCCTGCCATCTTCGGGCCTCGGCAACTATCAGTGAAATTGATGATTCTTTTCAATGATTTCATAGTGCGAATAGGTTACAGAACACGCAGCAGTGGCTTGCTTGCAGATGACCTTTCTCTCTCATTCCCGCAAACCAGCACCCGGTGCAACACCATAAAACAATAATTCAGCAAACTGAAGGCCTCGCAACTGAACCGAAGCGGCAATCATTTTATCCCGACGTTTTTCGAATCGGTGTTTCGGCAAGATCCTTATTCATGATCTGAGGTAAGATTATAGTCCGTCGGCCCGTAGCATGGGCCACCAGGTCTGGCCTATTGCCGGACTCAGGTCTCGATACCGAGCTAATGCCCGGTAGATACAATGCCTGCCTTGTTAGGGATAAGAAATAACTGGCGCTCTATTCGTGTCATTGATCCTGTGTATAATGCACAGACGGCTAGGTCTGATGTTGGCCCGGTAGGATCTAGATTGAGTGCCTCTTTAGGTTAGATCGTCGTCCTTCCTATGCATAACATGGTAGGTGCTTTCCGAGCACTTGCATTATTTTGGTGAAATGAATGTAATGATGGAGACCAAGTGTAGCGCTGAAGGTAGATGGATCCTCTATGACGAATATACGGGGCGAGGCCCTACCTCCTGCCTGGTTCCCTTTGTCATTCATTGACAGAGGACAATTTCTTGCCGACAACATACATTGTTGTTTTTCTCGGTGGACGACACTGGAATACAGGCATGAAAATTGGTAGGAACATGAAGCCCTCGGCCCCTGAGCATGCTTGTAACGAATGTCGGATTCGGAAGGTTCGATGCGACAGGAAATCGCCCTTGTGCTCTAGTTGTCGCAAGTCAGGGTTGGTCTGTCAATACACTAAGGGGAAGCGGATTGATCATACCAAGAAGCTGTCTGACTTCCCTCCTAAACCGTTTGATCATTGCGGCTGACTTGGTTGCAGAGTAGAAGATGTTCAATCACTCGCAATTCGTTTGCAACGATTTGAAGAAGCCCTTGTTCGATTCTCATCTATCGTACAAGCCTCCACCTCGCCTCTCAGCAGTTTCTCGACCACCTCTTATAGCCCAAATACTCGACGATCGAGTGTCCGGGGATTATGTAGCAATTCCAGTACGTCCGAGGAAAGCCAGACAGATAAATTGGTTGCTGAGCCTTTGGGGAGTGATGGGTACGGGCAACTGAGCTCAATCTATGCCGAAGCTCAAGCTGCCGGTGACCAGTTTGCCTTGTCATTGCCACTATCAAACAGTCTCGGGCCATTAATCTTCTCCCCTAGCTCGGTGCTGCAAGCTCAGCTTGCCAGTGCATGTGCGCTCTTCCAGAAACTGGTCACGGACAAACCTCCACTGTTGGATTTTCTCCAATATGATGACCAGCCGTCTTGTCTTCCACCACGAGCCTTCCTGGAAGCCTTCATCGACACATACTTTGCCGAGATCAGTTCATTGCTCCCCATATACGACCGACAGAGCGTTCTGACGGCCATGCGGACTCAGTACGAAACCCTGGACGTTCCTGATCCAGCCTGGATTGTATCGCTCAACAGCATCCTCCTTCAGACATTGGAAGGAAAGTCCACTGCAGCGAAGAAGACGGGCATGATACCTTTAGAAGCGGGCCTTATCACCCACCTATTGCAGAATATCCGGCGATGCTTCAACAATCTCCAAAGGCTACTAGAACCGCGTATGGCAAATGTGCAAGCCCTCTTGAACCTGGTATGGCAGATCTGCATTTGTTTGAATCCAACTAAACTTTGATGCAGGCTTTGGTTGCTCTCAGGTACTTCCACTTTACATTATTCGAGACTGTCTTCACCCAGGCCTGTGAGCTCGCCAAGTCGATGGGGCTACACCGGAGCATGGGCAAGCCATGCGCTGAGGGTCGGAATCTGTTCTGGTCTCTCTTCATTATAGATGTGAGTTCGTCCTCATCTTTTCTCTTCTCCGCTAATCGAACAAGAAACACACATCCCTGATAACCGGCACACCATGCCTCTTGCCATCCTATGACGTTGGTATCCCGCTTCCCACCAGCTCCGGCATTCTACTCAGCGATCAATTCGATGCGCGCATCTCCCTCGCTCGGATTCATGAAAGAATCTCTCGCAGTCTTTACGCCGGTATTCCGTGCGTCAGTCGGAAATGCCTGAGGCGGCGTGCCTATAAGCTTGTTCGACGCCTCAACGACTGGACCACCCAGCACAGTCACATTCTCTACCCCCCAGCCAGCACCACCACTACTGCACAGCAGGCCATCGAACTCCGATACGCCCTCTGCATCTGCCATGTGCTAGTGCAGCGCTGTATACCTGCCTCGGAGAGTCGCCAGATTCGACTTGAGCATGCTCGCACGGGGCTACAGCTTCTTCAGGAACTGTGTGAGGGATACCATCCGGGAGACAGCATTTCCGGCTTCGCCATCTTTGAAAGGTGAGTCGTTCTCTGCATTACTTTACCAGCTAGAGAACTGATACAGATTGTTTGCCAGCATCTTACTACGTTACCCCATTGTCCCCTTTCTCGAAGTCTACATCCACCTCCTCAACCCCGAAGACAATGACAGTCCAGCTGTCGTGACTTCCGATGTCAATGCCCTGGTTTTCTTCGCTACACGTGCGGAGTGTCTTGCTACAAACGCTTGTGAAGGCTCTCTTGCCGATACTGTCCGCTCTATATCTCAGCTATGTAGTCAGATTGCTACTTCGATTCTTCAGCAGAACCGGCGTCTTCAAGCACAACCAACAACACCGAATAACTATTGCATTGACTATGGCGGCATAATTGTCAGGGATTATGATTTCGGAATGATGATGGATGGGCATGGTAGCTACCGTAGATACGATGATGTGTGGTGTTGAATGTTTCTGTAACTATATGCTAGGTATTACTTGAGTAGACTTCAACAGACTCTTCTATGGAAGACAGATAACCCTACAACACTCTTCGCCTTCCTATACACGGTTTAGAACGACTACTGGCTCACAAATATAATCCTGACCATGTTGAATGAGTCAATTGATTAATAAAATATCCCATCACAACCAACGCCCCTACAAATCAAAACAGATGACTAGTTCACTACTGCAACGGATTGACCACATTCACGCTCAGCAACTCAATCAACTCATCCACATCCTGCAACTCCTCCATCCCCAGCACAGCCTTTTCAATCTTCTCCTGCCTCTCCACCCCAATCAACCCGCCCGTCAACCGACGAAACTTCTCCAAGATCTCCTCATTCGAAATGGGTTCATCCACCCCCTTCGGCTTCAACAACGAATGCTGAACCTGAGTGCCATCCGCAAATGTGGTCGAAATCAACGCACCACACCCAATATTCGGCTTGTCCAACTCCGCCGTATGCACACAACTCGTCTTCCCAATCAACTCCCAAACCTCATCCCGATCCAACTTTCCCGACGAAAACTGCTCCAACAACACCTGTCCATCCACCAGCTGCGACGCCGCCACAAACGCCGTATTCATCTGCGCCCCCGTCGGGGTCAACGGCCTCGTCTCCGGCGCCCACCCACAATGATGAAACACAGCATCACTCAACTGGATATGAATCTCCTTGATCTCTCCCAATTTCTCCCGTCCAAAACGCTCCGGATACATCTCCTGCATCTCCGCCAAACACTCAATCGTGCCATGAATCCCCCCACAGCACGCATGCAACTTCAACCGAATCCACTCTGCCGTATGCCAAAACGTCCCCAAATCCTTCGCCACTTCCTCCGGCTTCGAACTAGGCGTATGCTTCGACCCGAGGCCAAACATTGCCAGAAATCCTCCATACGGCCGCTCAAACACCTTCTTGATCCCTTCGTATCCTCCCCACGCTAACATCGTGCCCAACAGTCCATTCCTTGCCGCGAACCCATGATGCATCCGCTTTACCATCCCGTCGTACTGCGCCGCCATGAGCCCGCATGCTTGTGTCGCTGCTACTCCAATTGCATCTTCAATTTGACCCGCCGATAAACCGAGTAGCTTTGCGGAACTGCCTGCGGCTGCGGGCCCACCAAATACAGACCCGCAGTGCCATCCCTTTGCGAGCATCTCGGTGCCGTGCAGCGCCATGCCCACGCGCGGACCAACCTCGAACCCTACCACCGAGGCGAGAAGAAGTGTTCGCCCGTCGATGATGCGCGGTGCGGTCGGATGGTTCCGCGCACTGACGGCGGCAGCGAAGAGAGGGGGTATTACCACAGCTTGTGAATGCAGGGGCGCCACGCTGTGGTAGTCGTCTACTTCGCAGGCTTGGATCCAGGAGCCGTTGAGGGTTGCGGCTGCGATGGCACCGAGGCGCTGCCAAATCCGTTAGTACCTTGACACACTAACTTTATCTTTTAATCCACGTAATGGATCGAACGTGAGAGTGAGAGATGGGAGGGAAGAATACCTCTTCATACCCAATAACCACATGCTTCCCCTTCTCCTCGAAGACAGCCATCGCATCAAAAGCCTTCTGCGACCATGGGACACGTGCACCAACGAGTGCGCAGGCGATGCCATCAAGGAAAAGGTACTTGGCGCGGGTGCGGACGGAGTCTGGGATATCTTCTAGTTGGAGGGAGGCGATCCAGGTACAGAGTTGGCTGGTGACGCCGTTGGAGGAGTTGTATGCTTTGGTTACTTTCTCTTCTGCTGCTGCTGTTCCTTCCTCCTCTTTGTTCTGGGGTTGATGGTCTTTTTCTTTCTCTTTTGGACCATCTACCCCGTTGAGGGTAGTATTGGTGGTAGGGATGGGCGAAGTAGCAGAAGCTGCTTCAGATTTAGCAGTGATGGCGACCATATTGTGGATGTATTATAGAAACTTTCCTCGAATAAGTCTTGATTGATTGATTGAGAAAAAAATGACCCATCTTCCAGATATTCGACACCCTATTTATAAACCCCCCAAAGACACGCAGAGAGAACGTCATCCAAAACAATTAACAGGGAGACAAGCAATCACCACACGGACAAAGTCGGTGTACCTTGCCTGCCCTACCACTCCCTACCTACCTGTTCTACTACTACCATCATAAGCTAGTATCCCACGCAAACCCCCCTCATTCAATATCCAAACTATGAAATGATTGGTCCCGGTAATGCAGGAAGGAAGCTAGTTGGACGCCTAGAAAGTAGTCTAATGCTCCTCCAGTCGGATAAGAGGAGGATTTCGGGGGTGTTAACAATATCAGTTGATTATAGGCTGGGCCGACCGGGTTCCGAGAGCCGATTTTTGTGTTAGTCTGGTTTTTTTCTGCTCAGGGGTCTGGTGATCTTGGTAACGGAGCATGTGATGGTGAACTCTATATAGAATTTTTCTGGGGATATTGATTGATGTCATGAGTGGTGTTGTTTGTCTGTATGCATTTGCTAAATCATTTCTTTCTGTCGATCAATCGGTTGGTTGTGTGGGATGGAAAGTAAGTAAGCAGTAGGCAGTAAGCAGTAAGCAGACCGGGTAATCGGCGCTATTGTGCTATAGAGAAGAGGACATATAGGGGGTGGGGGTGGGAATGAGTGAGGGCTTACGCTTGGGCCTTATCTATAATGTATATTGGTGGATTATTATAGTCTCGGACTCACGTATGACGTATGTCACGAACGGAGGCAATCAATTGCCTTCTTGGGGAAATAATCTATCCTATTCGACTAATTCCTGTTGGTCGTATTCTAGTGTACTAAGAATTCGTTCATTCCTTGCTTGATTACCGTTCGTATTTAAGGTTGAGTTACATAATCTGCTAATCCTACTACTGTTTCGCAATGTCAACCCTAGTTATCACCAAATAAGCCTCTCCACCATCTCAACTCTCAATGTCCATGAGAAATCCATACTGAGAAGTGCGAGACCATGTCTCTTCTAGATATAGACTAGTGAAGACCTCATGACGGCCTGGCGAGACTTGAATATCAGGATCATTGCAGAATGTATTTCCGCCACTGCAATGAAACCTTTCCATGTCTGCCCACCGATTGCGCCACAGTTAGAGACTGTTTTCCAGTCCTGGCATTTACTACCTCACTACTCTCACTCTCAAGCATCAAATGTATCCTAATCAGGGGGAACAATAGGTAACGTTCTTCAAAGTCTGATTTGAGGCATAGCATGTCAGTCCTGAATGCCCCGTTTATACCAATCAATTCCATATCAAATCTATGCATACACCAAATACTATATACGACAAGCAATCACTACTAAATCAATCATACGTCTTCAACCAAGTAAGCGGCGTCTCAGGCATCACACCAGCCCCCACCAACTGCCCCCTCAGCTTATGCACACACAGCACCTCCCCACCGGACATTGTCTCCGAACTCTCCAAATCCGCCCACCAGAAGCGAAATATCGGCTTGAACCTCTCCAACTCAAAGAACCCCTGTAGCACGCCTTTCACATGCTTCCACATATATACAATCTCAGCCCGCCAAGCCCACCCATGTCCCTTGATTTGCCAGTCCCGGGCAGTCAGAAGCATCATCGCCTCGACATACCGCACCGGCATGGGCATCTTGACCGGGTACAGGGTATCAGGAAACCGGCCCCAATGCTGCTTGTCCTTCTGGGGAGGGAGACAGGGATTAATGGCTAGGATGAAATGGGGGTCATCTTCGGACAATTCTCCTAGAGTGAGCTCAGGCAGGTCCCAGAACAGATATCGCTTCTCGTATAGACAGAGATCAATGTGAAACACTGTGTTCATCTCTGCCCAGACACTCCCGTTTAGGTGGAAGGAGTGGTAGGGGATGAAGGGGGTTTCGCGGGCTGAACAGGTCTTTTGTCCCATGTGGGGGAAAGGACAGAGAAGATGGGGGTAGTACATGGGTTGCTCATCGGGAAAGTTGGCTTTGCGGAGGATGCGGATTGCTCTGTTTATATCATAGCTTTCCAGAACGAGTTCGATGTTCTGTTGGGCTTGGCTAGTCGGTTGTAAAGAGTCTAGATGAGATCAGGCAGTTGACTTACACCACGGAGTCCAGGGCTTCCCATGGCTTCATACATGTAGTCGCCAATTAGGAGACATGGTATACCGTTCTCTTCAAGGAGCTGTACTATATCTGCGATTACCTGGTAGTTCACCTCCTGGCCTGTGTATTCGTATCCAGACATTTTGGTTTGATGCAAGTAAGGCAGTGTTATTGGAGAACAGGAATGTGTCCTCAAAGGTGGGTTGACAGGAATATAAATCATTGGAGTTGCATGTCTGACCATGGTGATTGTTGAAGCCATACCTTGTGCAATTGAATAACTTGGAGTTTCGTGAGGATATCTTCCAGCAGGTGGAGGACATTTAAAGGGTTACTCCTTGTTCTGCAACATGATAGAGAGATTATGCAAAGAGGACTTCAATGTCAGTTGCCGATTGTATATGGCTCAATAGTATTAGGGCGCTTTAGCTGGGCTGTAGCGAACTGCGCAACCATCGGATTCGGGGCTTTCCGGATGAACAGAGAAGAGTGTATATCATGTCTTGCTTGCTTTGTCTTAAAATTACCAGGCATGCTTCAGTTGAATCTTTATCCTTGAAAGTTCATTTGGTATCTTTGTGAGAGATAGATTGCAGCTCTGCTGTATTCTCCCACATTGCATATTGCACATATGTTAATACATCTGCTACCATCTTAGTATTGAGGTAGATTCATCTCTTGGAGAGTATTCCTCGGAACCATCCTTCATTTTTTCCTAATATCTCGGGGCCGCCAATATAGCACCAATAAAATTGAAGAAGATGTATGCCTTGAGAGGGGGCTCGAACCCGTCTAGAAATGCGGCCAGTGTAACTGGCCTTTTATAAGATCTTGTCGACAAGTGAATTTATAATTGGACTTAAACGGTAAATCCCGGTAGCATAATCCAATCAACTAAGAGGGAGTGCAAAGCCTTGGCTACGAGCATGAACGGTTAGATAAATCCCATTTAGGCTCCTTTTGTGGAAGATTCCGATCCACGAGACATTACTCAATTTCAAGGAAATTACCCCTATGAGGGCCTTGTCTTCCTGCCGCTTGAGTTAACAAGCGTATACAGTTTCATCAATCAGGTTCTTTGTTTGATAGGTCTCTTGTCCTCAGCTTCATACAGCTCATACTGCCCACCTAGACCGCTTCATAAACCGCCCAAAGCGGCAGAACTCCATCGACCTCGCAAAGAAAAACACGGAAATAGACGGCTATAGACGGAAATCCATTTTGTACAGCCCCGAAAAACCGAGTCAGCATTCTGTTACTTTTTTGACCGCTTTTATTGGCGGCTCATAGTGGCAGAAAGTTGGATTTTGTGGCAGAACATCAAGCCCATGACCGCTTTATACACCGCTATCAGCGGCAGAACTCCGTCGACCTCGCAAAAGAATTTGCGGATATAGGCGGATATGAGCGGATATATTTTTATACAGTCCAGGAAAACTGAGTCAGCATTCTGTTGCTTTTTGTTCCGCTTTTGGGGGAGGGGGGCAGAATATGTAGTATTTGGGTCTATTCATCTACAAGTTTTTAGAGTAGTTCGGTAGTGGTAAAGCTACTTCTTTTTCTTACTTGATGGGTGTGATTCCTTACTGATTATTTCGAGTTTGAATTCATATGGTTGGTGCTGGAGGTTCTCTATTTAGTTTGAATATCGAGGTAAAAGCTACATATTGGACTTGAATATGCAGGACAGCCCAAATACAGAAATACAAACTTTGATGCAGTCTCGAAAGTCTGTTAGTGTACTAAACTCAATACCTAAATAATAAAAAGAGTCTCGAATTTGAAGCACTACACATAGCATTGGGAATCTATATCTAGACTATCATCAAAGTACAACGGTATGTCTAAAAGTCAGCAAACTCCTTGTCAATCTCCTCAAAGTAGTCGAAGAAGCCCTTGAACAGCTGCACTCCGAGACCAGGGTCCCGACTGCCTGTCGTCGCCCGGATACTATGCATACTGAGCTGAGGAATGCCCACATCGATTGCCCGCATGCCAATCCGGGAGCTAGTCATGGGTCCGATAGTGCCGCCGCTGCGGGAATCATTCCGGATCTGGAAGACCTGCAGGGTTGAGCCGCAGCGCTCAGCGACACGCTTCATGAAAGCATGGCTCACACTGTCCGTCGTCATGTGTCCGTTCGAGTCGGCGGAGACGGACACGCCGACGTTCAGGCGCGGGGCGTGGTTCTCCAGGTACACGTTGAGGAAGTTGGGGTTAACCGCATGAATGACGTCTGAGGAGACGAAGAAGCTATTGGCTACGGTCTGCGCTAGCACGTTGGGACCATAGCTCGGGGCGAACGCCTCGGCGATGCGCTCCATCACGCTGCTCATAAAGTTGGACCGAGCACCCTGGCGCAGCAAACTGCCAATCTCCTCGTCATCAAACATACCGACCATCTTCACCGACCCCGGGGATGTGCTGTCCGGCGAGGCAATCAGAGCCTCCTGAGCCGCGTAGCAGCATAGCTTGTCATCAATCCGCCCCGCAAAGATCAGGTCCTTCTCCAGACCGCCCAGCTGCGCTGGCTGACTGTCATAGAGTTCCAGTTCCCAGTTGAGAATGGTGTTGTAGTCCGTAATGCCCAATTCCTTGGAGATGACCTTGACGAGCTTCTCCGGCTGCGTAGAGGCAAATGAGCCCGCCGCGAAGGGGCTTGTAGTGGACGACGTTTGCTGCTGGAAGAGGTCGGAGTTATCCACGCCAATTACAGGGACCATCTGCGTCTCCTTGTTGAAGGGGCCCTGGGATGGCGCGCCGAAGTGCGGTGCCAATGTGGGAATACGGGCGATCGGCCAGTCCAGCTTGACCAACTTGGACTCGACCTTTCCGCTGCTAGGGTCCCGGACCAAGACACGCCCACCAATAGATAGATCCCGATCCCACCAAGTCTCATTCAGAGCACCTGCATATGGGGCAACTCCGAGCTGCTGAAAGCCGGCCTTTGTGGGGAGCTTGGACACGGGCTTCAACTTGGCGGTGAGGGCGTCAATGTGACCGGCCACGATAGCCATACCGTTTCCACTCTTATAATCCTTGCCAATAGAGAACGCGATGAACGCGCTGGAGTTCCGAGTGCAGTAGTATTTCCCGCCGCGTTCGAGCTTGGAGGTCCACGCTTCGCGCTCTGGCAGGCGCTTGTAACCTTTGCTTTCCAGCTGTTTGGTGAAGCCGTCAACAGCATGGAAGATGGTCGGGTTCGCCGTCATAAACTCGCAGTAAGGTTTCGCATAGTCATCTGGGTTAACGGACCCCGGTCCCGCGGTAGGTTGCGCGGTGGGAGCAGGAGAGACTGGGGAGTAGTCCTGGACCGGGTCGGGGAGGTGGCCGGACGAGCTGGGACGATAGGCCATGGCGGCCTCACGGAGGCCCATGATGTTCTTCTTGGCCATGGAGCTGTAGGAAAAGTAGCAAAGGTGGTAGATGAAGTAGTGGAATAGTCAAGTGGGCAATTGAGGAGGAAGAGGATGAGGAGAGGGAGGGAATTGGAGAAGAGCGGAGAAGGGACGAGGTCAGCTGAGCGGAGCTTCGACGATCATTCCGATAAGCGCCGTGACCAGTTTGGTTGCTGAGGCCCGGAGCTCCGTCGGGCGAAGGCAAAAGTGGGCTTTATTGTAAACGGAGAACAAATGTCTACGGTCATTGGTGTTAATTGGAATAGTCACAACAGCAATCGCTTAAAATTCACAGTAAAACGGGGCGTGTATAGCTCCCAGAATCTATGTACCAGCCAAGTTGGTCGGTAGCTGCGTCACTGATAAGCTGCGTCCCACTTGGCCCGAGCCGAGGATGAATCACTATCTCCTATCTCCATCTATCTAGTCTCATAGATTCGGTTTAGTCGCTCGTTCCCACATAGGCGTTCCAATTTACATTGCCATCCTTACAGTCATCCGTGATCGCTGGTCCAACGGCAACTGCAACCTCATAGCCATTCCGGACCATCGCTATCCGCACCGGCCCCGTTTGCCCGTTGAACGGCACCGAAAAGTGATGGATTCCCGGACCCGACGCCTGCAGAATTGTTGGTTCGCAATATCCGATCTGGACGTATATCTCACAGGCGTCTTTAACAGTAGCACTGACAAATACTCTGTCCTGAGCAAGTTCATTCGGTGGCATCACCTCCTGGCCCACATTAGGATCATTGCCCGTCGTGCCGTTGGCACTCCCAGCGTAACTCGGATTCAAGCGATACCAGTAAACCATCTTATCCTCCAAAGACAGTGTCTGATTCGCCTGGTACATACTATTCATCCCAGACCCTCGATAGGCGGCGATGTAGTGGGGCAGCAAAGCTCGCCACGCATCGTGCGGGCAATCCAAGACGTACTTGGAAGATCCGTCAGGCATCCCGGGTTCATAGATTGGTCCTATATAGTGGGATTCGCCGTAATCATTCCAACTGATGATCTAATCATGGTCAACAGTGCCCAGCACCATCCGAGAATCACCTTACCTGGACAAAGGCCGGCTGCAGATTCATGACTTGCTCCCACCGTATATGCCACAAATCGTCCCCGCGCCATAGCCAATTCTTGTTCCACTGGGGCAAATTGGTGTAGAACCAGGGAGAGACAGGCATCATGTATGGCTTCCCGGAAAGGGCGTGCATCCATTCGCGATCGCTCGTCACGTTTTTGTTCTGTGCCCCCACCGGCCAGGCATCCCAGCTGAAAGCACCGTCAATGATATCCAGGTAATCCCTGAGTCTTGCCGGCCCCATATCGGGCCAGGATGGCATAAAGAAGCAATCAGCGGAAGCTTTGATGTACGGCCAGTCGCCTGCATTATCAGCCCCTATAAAGGTCGATACTAGCGGCTTCCCCTGATAGTGATATTGGGCACTTCGGTTCCGGTAGGTGTTGATCGTTGTGATCACCCGATCGGCCGGCCATGGGCCTCCGGATCCATAGTCAAAAGACAGGAAGAGGGAGAAATTCCCGACGCTCTCCGCTGCAGAGTACGCTTTCTCGAGGACATCATCGGTGTAGCTGTCCTGGGGAGCAATGTTCAGTGCAAAGCCATCGATATGAGCTTTTTGTGCCTCTCTAATGTCTGACTCCCACTGCTCGGGGGTCATAGCAGCGGCATTTCCAACCTAACACAGTCAGTGATCCGTTCTCCCATGAAAGGCAG